AAACAAAAGGATGTATCTATATTTGCTTGGTAGGAAACATTTCTGATCTCCTTGGTGAATGCATTTTACGTTCATTTGCATTTTATTTTCAAAGTGGCTCGATAAAATAGAATGTCATTGCCCCCATTTTATATACTGAGGAGACTGAGATTCAGATTCCTGCCAGTCACACAGGTGGTCCATGGTGGTCTGCGTGGTTCTAAAGCCAGGGAAGGCCCAGTGTTTCCCCCGGCGCCCTGTTGGTCTAGTGCTTCTCTGTCCTACATCTGTGGAGGGTCCCTCAGCAGATTCAGTAGGTAGAGTATGAAAAATTTTTATTCTACGCTTGATTAGAGATTGATTGATCAAGCAATTCAGGAGATTTGTAATGAAAAAATGCCAGTCCCTTTCCCTGCTTTGTCAGTGCAGCTCCTCTCCGCAGAGACAGCTCGCTCTGTTCGGAGGGTGATTGCTGCCCTCTCTACATAACGTGCTTCTTGCCCCCGCCCGGCTTCGCACACAGTTTCATCTGTTGACTTGCTGGCTTGGCTAGTTTATACCACTGCTGCTATGTCCCAGCTTTGCTGGTGATGTCACTGTTGCCAGGAGCTCTCGTGGTTGGTTACCTTTGTAGCTGTAGTACCTGACAGACCTCCATTTCCTCTGCCATGCCCTCCCAGCAGGATCTCCTGACCCCACCTCCTTTCTTAAGGGGGTGTTGTTGGGGCTGGGACCTCTCAGCTAGCTGTGCCTTCACTTGTACGTTATCTGAGTTGACAACATTTGCATTCTGTTCTGTATCCTTACTAAAGTCTTATGCTTTGTTTAGAATTATTAGCTTGTAATTTTTAGAATCAACAGCATTTATATTATTATGAATAATGCTGCTCATGGCAGGGGTTTCATTTTCTGTTCTGCAGTCCCAGTGTCCTTATGAAGGGGTATTGTGCCTGGTGTTAATGTCAGTTGGATTCTGCTTTCTGACATTCCCATTGATCAAAATCCTGCCATATTTTTGTTTCATGTGTGGACCATAATTTGTACAGTTTTGATTTTCCTGTAGTTTGCTTATCTTTTTCTTTTCTTCATCAGTCCTTAATAATAGCCTACTTCTAATATATTCTGTTTATTGCTGAGACCCCCTTCTGCTCTTCTGGAAGATTTTGCTCCATGTTTCTGCTGACTCTGGAGCCCCTCTAGGGTCATCTGGGCAAGCTGACTCCTTCTCCTATAGCCACCCAGGGTCTAGTCTGGAGTGTCTTCTCACTGCCCCATTGAAAATTTGTTGAGATTTCTTGCTATTGGATTTAGGAGAAAGCATTTAGTCTTTTACATTAAATATGATGCTAGTTGTGGGTTTTCATAGGTGCTGTTTATCATGTTGAGGAAGTTCCCTCCTGTTCCTGGTTGATTGAGGGTTTTATCATGGATGGGTGTTGGATTTTGTCAAATGCTTTTTCTGCCTTTATTGAGATGATCATATGTTTTTTGTCCTCTATTCTGTTAATATGTGCATTACATTAATTGAGTTTTGGATGTTAAACCAGCCTTGCATTCCTTGCCAATAGGGGATAAACTCATTTGGTCATCAGGTAAAATCTATTTACTATGTTCCTGGATTCAGCTTGCTGATCCTTGGTTAAGGATTTTTATGTGTACATTCATGAGGGATATTCATCTGTAGTTTTCTTCTGATGTCTTTGGCTTTTGTATCAGGCTCGTACTGGCCTCATACAATTAGCTGGGAAGCGTTCTTTTCTCTGTTTTCTTAAAGTTTGTGTCGGATGGTATTGTTTTTTCCTTAAATACTTGCTAGAATTCATTAGTGAAGCCATGTAGGCCTAGGGTTTTCTTTGTGGGAAGATTCTAAATTACTAATTAAATTTCTTTCCCTGATACAGTTGTATTTAAATTTTCTATTTCTTCTTCAGTCATTTTTGCTGATTTGTGTCTTTCTTGGAATTTGTCCATTTCCTTTGAGTTGTCTAATTTGTTGTCATAAAGTTGTTTATAAAATTCCTTTATTATCCTTTTAATTTCTGTAGGATCTCTTGTGAAGTCCCTGCATTCCTGATTTTATTTATATAAAATAAAATGTATGTGTGTGTGTATACATGTATGCACATGCACACATATATACATGTATATATAAACACCTGTTTGTGTTGTTGAACCATTTTAAATTAAATCATTGTACTGGCTCTAAATACTTCAGCATGTATTCTGCTTAATCATTGAGCCACGTTGAGGACTTCTTTTCAAAACAAAAGAAAATTTCATTATTCCCCACATGTTGGTAATTCTGATTTCAGTATCCATTGGAAGAAAACACGTAGTAGGTATTTTGAGTTCAGTAGCACTTAAATGTGAATTTGGGTGTGTTAATCCAGACTGTGTCTGCACGCTGTGCAGGTGCATGGTGGCACAGCCTCTTCTCTGGCTGACTCCTGACTGGGTGCAGAGTGTTTTGGTGGGCAAGGTTTAGAGCCTGTAATAGTGATTCTGATGCTTCAGCAGCTGAGAGTAAATCTTCAGGGTGGCATTTTCTACTTCACTGTCATCGAGAGCTATTGGCATAATTTGAGTGTGTTTTGCAATTTTAGAAAATTTGGCAAAATTTATGTTAGCAGTTATTTTTATATTAAGACATTTATTTGTGTTTTTATTTGAGTGTACGGTTACTGAATAGCACTTTCAATCATCGCTTGAAACCTGAATGGTTTTTATAACTTGTGGACTTATAATGTTTTCAGATGTTTTTTGTATGGTACCAGTTGTCATTGTGTGAAGAGGCACTGCTGTGTGGATGGCCTTGTGCCCTGAGAACAGAGGGGAGGAGGGTGTCCCTGGACATGCAGGTGTGTCTCCGCAGGGCACGTTGTTGCCATGACCTGGGACATGTCAGCCCTGAGGGAAGGGCCACCAGCACCCCCTCCTTAGCTCTGCTACCTGGTGTCTTCTGCTTGGAGGTGAAGTGGGATCCTCAGCAAAGCCCCTGTCCTTGGCAGGGGTTCTCTGTCACATGATTTGTGCATATAGCAATTCAGAGCTGGAACAGTCACTGCCAGATTATTCTTATGAACTTTGACATATGGTTTTTTTAAAGTTAGAAGTGTCTGTCCTATAAGCTTTGTTGTCAGGGTCTGAACCATCCTAGTCCATGTTTGAAAACCTGGCCTGGCTCCAGGTGTGCTGCCAGGTGGACATGTGGAGCTCCCGGGGGCCTGCAGTGGCAGAGCTGAAGGGAAGAGTGGCTGGTGTGAGAGCATTGCCACTACTGCTCTGGGCGGTAGCTGGGCCACACGGTGTGGCCCACTCTTCTTACTCTTGGTCCTAGGCTATCTCATGGCCACCAGGTTAGGTATCTGTCCTTCTGTGCCAGTCTACTGGGCCTGTCATGGCAGTTGGGAGGCAGGAGGCTGATGGCCAGGCTGCTCCTCCCTTTTAGCTCAGATGGAGCCCACTCTCATGGTCACTTGCTGCAGGAGGGTGGGTGGGTGGGTGGGGAGGTGCCGAGGGCTGTAGGGCGCCTCATCCTGGTGCTCACGTTGTGCCCAGACTCACCCAGCTGCAGGACAATCTCCTCCTTCCTTTCCACCAAGCCATCTCCCTGACTCCTTTAGAAATTCACCAGGAAGAAGCTAGGGGATCCAGGTGACTTCCCCCTTATCATAAACCCAAATTATAAAGACACAGATTTTCAGTGTCTTGGGACTGGTTTTCTAAGCCATGAAATGGGTGCATCTCAAATGTGGCCTGTGAGAATGCGGGTCCTGTCTGGCCAGTTGTCAGCACCTCGCACGTTGTAGGGATGGCTCCTTCTGTGGTGATAGTGTAAGGGCACTGAAGGCGGTAGAATGAAGGAAGTGTTCTGAACTTCCTGATCTGGAGTGGTGGGTTCAAGGTATTGGGCTTGAACGGGGGAGAAAGAGCAGAAGAGCGTGACTTCTGCTGAGGGGCTTTGCAGAGTATTTTACAGAGTGATTCCAGGTCCGTGAAGGGAGCTGACAAGACAAGGCTGCATGACGTGTGCTGGGAAAGGCAGTGGAGCCGTAGGGTCCCTTTCTGGGAGATTGCACTGTGACTTGTGTGTTGTGATGTCCCTGGCCTACCTCGGAGCGTTGACGCTGCACAGGCCCAGGGCTGGACGGGTGGCTAGTCTCTGCGTGAAGTACTATGGACCAGGGTGTTTGGGAAGTCCCCTTCACCTCAGCTGAGCAGCTCCCGGACTGTCAGGACCTGGTGTCGGGGATGAGGGGCTCTGGAGAAGATGGGGCCACGTACCTTCAGAGGCACTTCTTACCTTGCTGAGTAAATACTATTTTTGAAGGAAAACAAATTTTTTAGCTGTTTCTTAGAAGTGCTCAGCGCTAGGATTCTCTCTTTAAGGGGCTTGGATGCTGTGTGAATTGTCCCATTTGTCTTCCAGACTTGAAAGCGGAGGATAAGATTTCAAGTTGAGAATTCAGGGGTCTCAAGGTCTGCGAGTTTGGAGGTGGTCATTGGTTACAAGGGAAGTGACCTGTGGGTGTCAGTCCCATGGGTCCAGGTGACCAGCGCTGCCGGGCCCCACTGGAGGGGCGGATGTGTGCTCTTCTCGTTTGCTGACTAGGAAGGAATGCTTGGGTTCTTCACCTTTGCATGAGATGCTTCGACTTGTAACTTTTATCCTTTGGTATCTTTATTTATACACAGGAATTAAAACACCCAGAGAGATGCTTTGCTCTCCTCCTTAGAGGCTAATGCCCTTAACTTCAGCTTGGGCCTGGTCAGCAGGGAAGTCTCCGCCCTCCATGTGAACTGCGCTTTCTTGTTGCCTCGATTTTTCGTTGCTTCCTTTTAAGATTCCCCTCCAGTCTCTTGTAATCCCTTTCTTTATCATGTACAGAAACTGTTCTCTTGTTATTTGGGGGTGACTGTTTAGAATAAAAATTCTGGAAGATGCAGTGAATTGTTTTGATAATTTATGTTTTAAATTTGTAAATGTATTTGCAACATTTTAATAGAATTTTTTTTTTCAGGCACAAATATTTAAGCATGGAAAACGTGAAGACTGTTTACCCTATGGTAAGAGTTATTTGTGGCAGAGGGTGTGTTGTGTGCTGTGAGTTTGCCCTGTGCATGATCACGTGTGTCTCCTTAACATTTTATTCGTAGGTACAAGAATCTGGAATTTGCTATATTTGGACACTATCATAGCTCTTTGGTTTTTGTTTGTTTTGTGTGTGCATGTGTGTTTTAATAATCTGACTTTTAGGTCTTGTGCAGGAGGTCTGGGTTCCTGACGCCTTGCCTGGCGGGACTTGATCCTGGGGGACTTGGTGACATCGACACAGCCCCGAGGTCTCCCGCTGTGTTCTTCCTATAGCCACAGCCACATCTTTTGCTTTTTGCCTCATTCTCTTAATTTTAGATTGAACTTCAATTTATGAAAATAAGTACAGTGATTCTTGCTGCAGAGAGGTTTACTACCTGGACCAAAAGAAATTTCTTAGAGCTTTGTGTTTCAGAAGATGTATAAATCAGATTTGAATAGTTGAGTCTATTTTTTTTTAAAGTTTTCATTGTAGAAAATTTCAAACACGTATACAGGAAGGGAGAATGGTATAACGAACTCGCATAGTTCTATCACAAGCTTCCGGTTTTTAATTCCGGCCACTCTTGTTTCCTCTGTACTGCTCGGCCCACCTAGACACCCTGTCATTTCATCTGCTTCTCTTTCAATAGGTGTCTCTAAAAGATAGGGACTCTTTAAAAACATAACCCTGCTGTCATTATCACACCTGAGAAAATGAGCACTAACCGCTCAGCATCTGCACATCTTGTCCTCATTGGACTTGCACATGTGGCCCCGGGTCTCTTTTGAGTTACTGTCAGTTATTCCCAGGTTAGTCACTGCGCCCGTTTGGGTCTTTTGGGAAATCATTCAGATGCTCTTACAACTTGTCTTGAAATCCCGCCCTCCTTGTCACACATGACACGCCATCCTGTGCGCTTTCATGGCCTCGGCTTCCCCCTGATGCCCACCTCGTTCCCCCAAACAGCCTTGGCAGCAGAAGAACTGGTCACGCCATTTCCCTGCTTATAGAGACCCTCCCCATCAGGTTTCTGGTCCTCCCCTATTCCGCAGTCTCGTGCCTCGCTCTAGTCCTTCCTGCCTGATGCCGTGTGACTGCCCGGTGAGACAACAACAAAACAACACAAAGAATCCCAAATCCGTTTGCACATCTCCGGTAATCCTTGGCCTGTTCTTTTACCTGCCAAGCCTTTGCATAAGCTGTTCTCTTTACTTAGAAAGGCTTCTCCCTCTCTCTTGGGGCTCCTCTTTGTTCTACCAGCCTCCGCGTTTGATGCTTCACAGTGAGAAAGTTGAGCAGGCTCGACTCTAGCTCACTTGGTAAATGACATGGGATGAAGGGGGTCTTTATGAAACAGAGTTAAGGGGTTCAGTGTAAATTTATGACATCACACTGCATTTGAGGGGACCTGTAGAATTGTCTGTGGTTTTAATGTTGTAGATGTTCAACACAGATGGTGCAGTTTGGGAGATCATATAAAATCCTTGCCACCAAACTGAGCAGAATGTGCTGTTGTTCACAGCTGCCCCCGTTCTTGCGTGCCTGGATGGCTGCAGGCTCCCCGACAGCAACCAGACCCTGCTCCGGAAACTTGGGGTGAAGCTTGTGCAGCGGCTGGGCCTGACCTTCCTGAAACCCAAGGTGGCGAAGTGGAGGTTGGTAGACCAAGCCATGACTACGCACGGCCTGAGCGCCTGTCGATGGCGGATGTGGTGACCACCTGTGTTTCTGGTGGCCATGACAGAGTGGGCTGATGGGTAAAGAGTATCTTCTGCTTTCATTTTTTTCTTAGTCTCAAGAGTGTTTCTGATTTTGGAAAGAGCAGTTTTCCTTTTGGTTATTTTCTGACCGTACATCTTCCAGTAAGAATAATTAGAGCCGGAGTGATGACAAGAAAAGCTTGTTTTTGCATTTTATGTGACATTCAGATACAATACAGCTTTACTAACTTGGACTTGCTGTGGGGAAAGCTCTGTTTTGATCAATGATAAATCTGAATCACAGGCTTCTTTCAGAGAAAACAAACTCACTCCTTAAGGTTTATTCAGAAAACAAAGCTGTCTTTGCCTGTTGGTGGAAATGACATCTTAACAGTCTGTAGGTGGCCAGCTTTATTAATAGATTGCTTTCAAATTGGTGGCTCCCATGGAAACAGACTTTTCCACTGTGCTTGGGGTACTGTGTTTTAACAGTCTTCAGTTTTATTTCAGGTATTAATATGTGTGGTTTGGGAAGAATGATTTAATTATGTTCAGCTCAGCCTTTGTCTCCAGTTATAGCAGATTCCAGAGACATGTGTGATGTTTTACTGAACTGCCTTTTGGGTGTTCTGCATATAGCTTGTTTTATAAGAAGTGGTTTATGTAAATGTTAGTAGTTAGTTTCCAAAATGCTCTGGAAAATTAATGTTTGGTGCTGAATGAGGGTTCAGAGAAACAGAAGCAGTAGGATGAGTGTGTGTATATGAAGAGGCTTATTCTAAGGAATTCGCTTGTGTGATTGTGGAGGTTAGTGACTCCCCAGATCTTCAGGGTGAGTTGGCAAGCTGGAGACCCAGGAGAGCTGATGGTGTCATATGAAAGCCGGCAGGCCTGAGACTCAGGAAGAGCCCGTGTTTCAGTTTGAGTCCAAAGGCAAGAAGAAGACCCTCTTACTCGAGGGAAGGTCAACTTGTTTGCTCTCTTCAGGCCTCCAACTGATTGGATGAAGCCCACTCACATTAGGGAGGGAAGTCTGGTTTACTCAGTCCACTGATTTAAATGTTAATCTCATCGAAAAATACCCACACATCCATCCTTTGGGGCTTCAAAAAAAAAGTCACCTCATTCACATAACAAAACACACTTTCATCCAGAAATGGACAAAAAGCAAGTATATATTTCTTATTACAAATCATAATATCACAGCTATGTAACAGAGTACCCCAAAATTTAGTGGCTTAAAACAATGCATTTTTAATGTCACCTGGGAATTGCCTGCCACTGTCCTTGTTTTATGGAGTCGGAAACTGAGGCCCAGAGAGATGAGGCCTCAAATAATAACACCTAGAATAATGTTTGACCAAATGTCTGGGCACCCCATGACCCAGTCAGGTTGACACGTGACAGTGACCATCACAAGTGCTATAAGTATTTATGTGGGAAGGAGATAGTTAAGCATCATAATTCTTTTTTTTTTTTTTAAAGATTTTATTTATTTATTTATTTTTCCCCCCAAAGCCCCGGTAGATAGTTGTATGTCATAGCTGCACATCCCTTTAGTTGCTGTATGTGGGACGCGGCCTCAGCATGGCCGGAGAAGCAGCGCGTCAATGCGCGCCCGGGATCCGAACCCGGGGCCGCCAGCAGCGGAGCGTGCGCACTTAACCGCTAAGCCACGAGGCTGGCCCTAGCATCATAATTCTTTTGTTCAGTCTACATGTCCCTTTATGTTGACTATGATTATTGATGTGGTTGGTTGAAGGCTACCATCTTATTTGTTTTCTCTCTCTTTCATCTTTCCTTCTTTTTGTATTTTTTTCATTTTATCTCCTCTGTTATGTTTTTGTTGTATCTTTTAGCGTCACTGTCTTACTGGTGACCTTCCCTTTAAGAGGGGTGAGCCTGCCTGGCGGGCCGTGACTCCCTGGTGCTGCTCTCTGTCCTGTCTCGGGGAGGCCCTGGTGGGGTGGGTTTCCTTCCGTTCTGCCTCTCCTGGAGCGTAGCCCCCCTCCTGCAGCATGCTCCTCACTCCTACTGCACGGCCTTTCAGTCCCCTCTTGCTGGGCCCGCATCTCCGTGCCTCCCCAGCATTACGTGACCTCTGAACTCTGTTCAGCTCTCAGCCTCCCAGCTACTCTCTGATGGTTCTTCTGGATCTTGCTCTGCACACACATCTTAGGGGTTGCCCAAGGATCCAATAAGATCTTTGTGCAGAATTTTGGGGTTCCTTCTCAGCAACTCCCTTTTCTCCAACATCTGTCCCCAAATACTGGCCATCTCAGTAGTGGCGAATGTTTTTTTCTTCCACCTGGCAAGACTGCTGCTGTCTGCCTGGGCTCTATTTTTCTGTGCTGCAGTTTAGAAAGTGCCTTTGGGGAGGAAGCAGAGGGGAAGTGTGGTGCCCCGGGGCTTCCCTGCTCTGAGGGACTGTAGCCCAGCCTTGGTTGTGGTCTCTTGCCTTGCCAACAGTTGGTTTATATGTTTTGTCGAGGTTTTGTGCTTGTTTATGGCAGAGGGCTAAGTCTGCTGGCAGCCTACAGTCTGTCGTCTTTCTGGTGTCATCAGGTCTCTGGTTACTGAGCACTGAGGATTTCTACCTTGCGATTAATGTGTGTGCTCATTCGAGGAGAATAATAGGACACCGACCACAGCCGCCACAGGACTGATCTCTGACTCGTGAGCGTCGTGCTGGCTGCTTTGTGATCCTGACAGCAGCCCTGTGATAGCTGGTGATGTCCACCTGTGTTGGTTATCTGTTGCTATGCCAATTCCAACACCAACTCTGATGTGGGTTTTTCCCCCACACCAAGCAATTCTCTGAAACCAGCTGAGTGTCCTAGAGTTTAACTCAGTTCTCACACTGTCTACCCGGAGATAGCGTCAGACCCCACAGGTCAAGGGCTCAGTCCCACAAGACTGTCCCTCCATCCCCGCTTCAGATGCCAGTTGCAAGTGCAGGTTGTCACCTGTGCTTCTGACTGATAGATTATAGATTGGAGGTTCCCACGACCCCTCTCCTCAGGTTTGGTTAGCAGCTCACAGAGCTCAGGAAGACATTTCACTTACTAGATTACTGGTTTATTATAAAAGGACGTAACTCAGGAACAGCCAGGTGGAAGAGATGCATAGGGCAAGTTACAGGGAAAGGTTGTGGAGCTTCCTTCTGTGCCCTCTCCAGGTGCGCTGCTCTCCTCAATCTCCACATGTTCACCAGCCGGGAAGCTCTCTGAGCCCTGTCCTTTTGGATCTTAATGGAGGCTTCATTCCACAGGCATGGTTGGTTAAGTCATCGGCTATTGGCAGTTGGTTCAACCTCCAGCCCCTCTCCCTCCCTGGAGGTCAGGGGGTGGGACTGAAAGTTCCCGCCTTCTATTTACATGATCGGTTCCCCCAGCAGCCAGCCTCATAAAAGTCACCTCATTCACATAACAAAACACACTTTCATCCAGAAATGCACAAAGACCAAGTATATATTTCTTATTACAAATCATAATATCACAGCTGCATAACAGAGGACCCCAAAATTTAGCAGCTTAAAACAATGCATTTTTACTGTCATCTGGGAATTGCCTGCCACTATCCTTGTTTTATGGAGTTGGAAACTGAGGCCCAGAGAGGTGAGACCTCCATGAGTTGTTCAAGGCCACAGTTAACCATGTCTGAGCTGGTGTTCGAGTTTCCTGTTCTGTCTCCAGAGCCCAAGTCATCCATGTTCTGGAGTCGGCCTCAGGCTGCATCCCCCAGCGTTCACTCCGTAACTGGACTTGGACACCTTTTATACTCCAGGCCCTGTCCTGAGGTGGACCACTTGAGAGTCAGGCCCATGCGTGTCTCACACCCACCTTGTGGGAAGGGAAGGCGGCATTTATGGGCCTTGCTCTGCACAGGCCCTGGTCTGGGTGCTTCGCGCACATCCTCTCATCCATCCTCGTCACAGCCCTCTTCGTAGGACCTCATTTTACCAATGGGGAAACTGAGGTGGCAAGAGGTTCAGGAGCTGTGCAGAGTCATACAGCTGAGCCGGCCTGTGCTGGTGGCCCCTCCACTGTCTGCAGGGGAGATAATGCTGGTGGCCTCCACTTGAGTGGGGAAGAGAGCTGTGGTTGGTGGGGACTGTGAGAGCATGCTGGAGGCAGCGTCTGTGGGAGCTGCTGCAGTGACAAAGGGCCGGCTGGCATTTGCCTGGGGGGTGGTGGGTGGTGGCCTGTTCTCGCTGGGACAGGAGGCAGAGCTGTTGGAAAGGCGCTGCCTGCTTGTAAGTAAGGACGAGGCCAGTGGGTTGTTGGAACGCCCTCCCTGCGCTTCTGTCAGATGGGTTCTCATTGTCGCCTTTATCACCTACCTCTCTACCATGAAAACCTTACGATACGTGAGGATTCCAGAGTAGCCTAAAATTTGAATCTGTGTTCTGTAGCTAAGTTAGGTCATTATCTTTTCTTGGCAGTCTGTGCTGATGACACTTGATACTCGCTTCTTCCTTTGCATCCTGTCTCTGTAAAGCATGAGGACTTCTCACAGGCATCCTTGAGGATTCCAAGTGATGCTGAGTTGTTGATTTCAGTTATCAAGATCATTTGTCTTCAGGCGTTGGTCATGACCGCAGGTCTGTGGTTGTGTGCTCCCTGCAGGTACCAGCGTGGCTGCCGCTCCTTGGCTGCTAACCTACAGCTCTGTGCCCAGAGTCAGACAGGGCCCCAGACGCACGCCAAGATTCCCGACAGCGATGCAGACGACGACGATGTCCCTGAGGAGGTGGAGAGCGTGATAGGTGTGTGGGGTCCCGCAGCCTTCTAGGGAGCCTGTAGTGGACCGTTGCCTGGCTCTGGTCTGGGCAGGGTCCGTTTGCTTCACGCTGGGGCTTCTGGGCATCAGCTCCTCTAAGCTGCATTTCATTGGCTGCACCACCTCCTTCCCCTCTTTGTGCTGGCATCACGTGACCTTCTGTCACCTTCCTCGCCCACTGAGCACGTGGCCACTGGCCTGCAGTCCTGATACCCAGCCCTGCACCACACGGGAACATCCGCGCTCACTGGGGCCTGACATTCCCCCCACTGTTCGCTTCCTTGTGTGAGCCGTCCTGTTTCCACGCTCTCCCTGTGCGCCTCAGAGCCCAGGAGCACACCCTTCGCCCTCCCACCGGTCCCCACCAGTGTCTCAGGCCCCTGCTCATGCTGCTTCCCCATGCCTAACCTGGGTGCGTCCAGCCGGTGGCCTCGGCGTTTTCCTGGGGAAATGGAGTGGTGGCTTCCCTGGCCCTGCACCTTCCACACCTTGCCATGCCCCTACCACCTCAAACACGCGGAGCTCTCCGCCTGACCCACTCTCATCCCAGGTGGCATCCCCTGCTGCACAGAGGGACAGAGCCCCGTGTGATGGGCTCTACATAACTCTGCCTGCTCCCTGCCCCCGAAGGTGGACCAGGCCCCCCCCTCAGCAGGGCCAGCCTCCTACTACCCCCTCCTTGTTCGGCTCTCCCACCGCCCACCCCCCCCAGCCCCCTGCTTCATCTCCCTCCCACCACCCCCTCATTGGTGTTTCTCGTATCCCCACCCCCTTCCTTGTGGTCTCCTCCTCCGCCTCCTCCAGTGCTGTTTTGCTCTCTGCTCACATCCACTTCCTTCCCCTTCATAGTAGGTTTCTTCCCAGAGTTGTCTACTCCTGCTGTCTCCCCTACCTTGGGGCCCTAGACTGCCCCGGTCACAGTGAACTTGGACACCTTCACAGGCTCCTGTCCTTCCTCCGAGCCAGGCCTTTGTGGGTGTTTGGTGCCCTTGTCAAGGTTTCCACTGACTGGGGCTTGCAAGGCCCTTATGAAGGCGGCTGACACCTCCCCAACTTCCTTCGGGCCTCTGTGTGGCTTTTCCTAAAGTCTGGCCCGTCTCCAGGACCCCGTCCCCATAGAGCCGCTCCTCTGTGGCCTCCTGCAGACACTGTTTTCTCTGGGAACCCTTCCTCACCTGCTTGGTGAGGAAGCTTGGTGACCTCTGGCCTCCCTTGCTGGTGCTGTCTGCCCGGTGACTGCTCTGAGGGATGGGGCTGCTTCTTAGGAACAATGGCAAAAATTGACTTTAAATGATGATTTAAAACCATAGAGAAGGAAATGTTATTTTCTTTAATTGGAATTAAGATCTTAGTGTAATTCCCTTCCTGTGCTCTTTTGAGTGATGTGCAGGGTGAGTTCCTCAAGCTGGGAACTTGAGAACTTACCTAGCAGTGGGATGATTAGACTGGGGGTACCCTGGAGCTCACGGCCCTGCCTTCCTTGTTCTTCCAGAGCAGCTGCTGGTGGGGTTGAAGGACAAGGACACCATTGTGCGCTGGTCTGCTGCCAAAGGGTAGGTGTCTGGCTGTCTGCTCAGCCTTTTCATCGCTCAGCGCTTCCTGTGGGGTTTGAGAGCAGCAGACGGCTTAGAGATTTTTAAAAGATAGAATGATTTTTTCTAATTTACGTTTCTCTATGTTCTGATTTTAAAGATAATGCCTGAGGTTGATTTGAAGCTCCTTCATTTTCTCGCTTTATGGTGAGAATTGTGAGCACGCTATGTTTGCCTTTTTTGCCGTTCCTTGCTCTGCCACGTCCTCGTCACCACAACCCCACCCCCTGTGCCCACAGAGGAGCGCTGCCCCCATGTAGTGAGCAGGCACCCCGAGTGTGGGCTGGTGTCCATCCTCTGCTGTGCCTGAGGGAATAGCCTCAGAGAGGCACCCGGGGAGCGTGGGGGAGCGCGGCTCACCCAGCAGGCCAGGCCTTGCAGAGCCAGTGGCCGGTGGGGGCAAAGCATACAGTAGATGTTGAAGATACGCTGAGCCCTCTGCCGTGAAGAGTGAAGCGGGTGAAGGTGCTGGGTGGCTCCCTCCCCATGGTCCTTCCAGGCCTCTGTGCCCGTCAGTCCAGACGCACGACACTCGGGGCTGACGGGCTCACGTAGGGGCTTCCCCTCAGCAGAGGGCAAGCTCTGAGCCCAAAGTCACGTCTGGTTGGAGTGCGATAGGCCAGGAGGGAGGGGCTTCCTGGGACACCTCTAGCCAGGACCCAGTGGGGGGACGCCAATCCCACATTGGTGGCCTGATGGAGTCGGCATGGTCGGCATCCAGTGTGGAAGTGGGGCAGCCCACTGGGCAGGACGGTCTAGGGGATTCAGGTCAACAGTGTGGCCCAATGCTGGGTGCTGTTGTCCGTCAGTGACGTGCTGTATGCCCCGTGGGCTCGGTCCTCCTCAGACGCATGCAGACACCTGTCCTGTCTGTTTAGTCTGTTCACGTCAACATGATGGGGAGGCGACCTTCTGTGGAGCAGAGCGTGTGCGAGGCTGGCTTAGGGTCAGCCTCTCCTTTCCTTTTTCTGAGCGAAGGAAGATGGCTCCTAGTTTGGCGTGTACCCTCTGTGGCAGGCTGTCGATGCTGACGAGCATTGCTTCTCTTTTTCAGCATTGGTAGGATGGCTGGAAGGCTTCCTAAAGAGCTGGCGGACGACGTGGTTGGGTCTGTGTTGGACTGCTTCAGGTATGTGAGGAGATGAAGGGAGACGTATTTCTGGGTAAAAGCAGTGGCTTTTCTTTCCTTAAATCCTTTTTCACTAAGCTATGTGTCAGAGCCCCAAAGCCTTTTTTTTTTCTTTTGAAGTTAAATTGCAGAGCTCTAGTTATTTCTGGTATATATTTTTTTATCACCTTAGACTCCATTACATTTAAAAACCTTAAGGCAAAAGAATAATCAGTTTTGAACTTATACACACATAGATATTTATCCTTAGAGAAACCTGTGGTTATTGGAGTGAATTCAGGCCTGCACGTCTAGGAAAACTTCCTGTGATGACGGCGTGTTCCAGATCTGACTTGCTGGAGCCACTAGCCACGTGTGGCTGTTGAGACCTTAAACAGAGGCTAGTGTGACTGAGGTCTTAGTTTAAATTGTACTTACTTTTATCAGATTTGAACTTGCACAGCTGCATGTGGTAGTGGTTGTGTTGCATCTGTGGCCCTTCAGAGGAGTCTGGTGTCTGGGTGGTGTGTGGCCTGCCCACAATGCGGGTGTGGGCCGGGATGTGCAGGTGGCGGGTTTTTGGTGTCTTGAGCCTGGGGCCTACAGGCCAGGGTTGAAGGGCAGAGCCCCCTGGCAGTGCAGGTGGACTCTCGGGCACGTGTGCTTGGGTAGAAGGCACAGTGAGTGGGGTTCCTCGCCGAGGAGCCTTCAGTTGGTGTGTAGATGTCTCTCCTGGTTTCAGAAGCAGGTGTGTGGAGGACGTGTGGTGTTTGTTAGACCCCCTCCTTGACTCCTGCCTTCGTTAGCCCGTTGCTTTTCTTGTGGAACTACTACTGTGTTGGAGAAAGCTGTGCTGTCAGCACTTTTGGGTGCTTGTGTATGTGTGTGTGAGTCACTGAGACCGCTCCGTGCGCGTCCCCCAGAGTGAGCGCTCCCGGAGCAGGTTTCTTCCTGCATTTAGCCTCGAGCTGCTCAGTGGCAGTTGAAGGAGTGCAGATAACGGTATGTCAACTGTTGGTCATCTTTTTCAGAATAATGCTATGTGTGTGGCTGTGTCTTCTGGTGGAAATATCTCACCATTCTCTGCCAGCAGAAAACATAGCCCTTATCAGGACTCTCTGCGGAACCCATGGATGAGGGAAAGAAAGCGTTTGCTTCTTGTCCATGTGCTTCCCCATCAAAACGTGACGATTCTGCTGGCTTGTCTTAGGGCGTCTTCTTGGAGTTCTTTTCTGGTGGCATGGTGGTGGGTGTGCTGGTGACGCTGGGACCCCGCTGGTCCCGGGCACAGAGGTGTGTGTCCCTGGGTGGCTGCTGAGGGGGTAGCCGTGGGAGTGGCTGTGGCAGAACATATTGCCCACAGGAGAAGGCAGAGCTTTGAGACTGGATTTTGGAGGGTGGAAATGCCCTGTGGCCTGTCTTCTCCGGCCTGTCATCTGGGGTGGCCGTGTCCCTCAAGTACTCTTTGTCTTTTTCTCTTTCCTCCTTAGAGTATTTCTGCACATTCCCTCTGGTCATTTTTAGCTGTCTGACCCAACCTTCCTCACGCTGTCCTTGCATAGCCTCCTTCCCTCCCTTCTCACTGGCCCTCTCGAGTCCCTTCCCGTTTGGCCTCCCCTACCGGCCCAGATCCCCAGCCTCCTCACCTCTCCAGCTGCTGCGCCTTCTGCCTGAGGCCTGTGGACCGTGAGTTCAGCACGTCTCAGGAACTCGTTGGTTGTCTTTGCTCTCAAAGGACTTCTCTGGTCGGATGTGTGGTCCTTCTCCAGACCTGCCGTCTCAGTCTAGTTTCAGTCATCCTGGTTAGCTTAATCTCCAAATGCTTCTTGGCCTTTATTTTGTTGTTTTAATGAGTTCCGCTGATTTTTGTAGCCAGGTTGTGGAGAGTGGAAATGGTCTTACTGCTCTTGATTCCAGGGCCGGCAGACACAGCAACAAGCAGGATGTTGAAGGAAGGGGCCTCCACCCCACATCTGAGCAGAGGCCTGAGTGCACCCACAGACAGTCCCTCCCTGGACGGCACCTGCGCCCATGGGTGTGAAATACCTGCTTGTAGAGCGAGGCATAGACAGGAGTTAACCGCAGACGAGACGTTTGAAGACACCGAGAGGCAGGGACTATCTGAGTGGAGGGGATGTGAGGTGGGGCGGGGGTGGCAGGGCTGGCTGGAGACCTGGCCCAGCTGCTGCTCTGATCTCGTCGCTCCTTTTATGTCCTCTTGGGATGTGTGGTGAGTGGCTAGCCTTTTCTGAAATGGTCAGAAACAGGACATTAATTCCCTTGACTGTAGGAACACCCCGCTCCCAGGACTGTTACTTCACTCACTGCCCTGTTTCTGGGCCAGGGTATGTGGCCTGTTGCTGCACAAGTCCCCAAGGGGGCTTTACAGTGAGCCCTACAGGACCAGTGTGAGCAGCGCGGCCATCCTGTGTCCAGCCTGTTGCTCCCCTCCCTGTGTCCCATCCCCTGAACGTGCAAGTGCCCTTCAATACCTGTGGCCCCCCGCACTCCCACCACTTAGAAAACCATGGTTTAGCTCCTTGCTGGCCACAGCAGCATTACTTCAGGACAGGACCCCGGAGTTAGTGCGTTCCAGACCCACCAGTCCAGGCCATGGCAGGAGCAGGGTGCCCAGGGAGGAGGGGAGTAAGGCCCGGTCGGCCTTGCTGGGGTCCTCTGTGGCCTTGCTGGGGTCCTCTGTGACTGCTGTCTGAACTAAGCCCCACGGGTTCTCCAGTTAACAAATGGACCGCAACTCTGCAGCCCCGGGTCCCGGGTGTGCTGTGGGTCCTGCTGATTTACCTGAGTCTCTGAGACGTTGAGAAGTCTGTGGTGGTGCCACCGTGGCTTCAGGGAGCAGCCCCTGTCTCAGTAGGAGATGTACCACATGCTTCCTTTCCATTCTTCTCTTCTAGTTTTATTGACGTTTTTGACTGGGTAATATTTTAGTTATAAATTCAAAATGAAAGTTGATGAAAGGCCTCCCTCTGTTCTGCACCCCTGCCCACAGTGTCCCCTCTTCCTGGTTACCCAGGGGCACCCATTTCTTCTGTGTCCTTCCAGGGACATTGGATGCAGAGGTGAGCAGATAACTAAGAACCTCTTCTCCATTCATTTTACGTGGACGGTTGCTTGCCCTCCACATGGTTCCCCTTGTCACCTTTGAGGTCGTTCTCGTCAGTTTGGTGCTTTCCATTGCCCTTGGTGATCTGAGGCCAATGTCCCTGAGCCCGTCTTGGCCTTGCCTTCTCTGGAACCTGCCTCCTCCTGGCTCTGCCGTTTGCTCTGTCTCCACTCCTCTGAGCCCTGTCCTCTTCCAGGATTGCCCTGGGCTTGGGTCTGGGGCAGGGACTTGCCCTCTGCCACTTGGTGGAGTGCTAGCGTTTCCTGGCTCAGTGATAGCATGGTATTAATGTTGGTATTTTGCATGCCTCTGTCCACGTCCGCTGTGTAGGTTGGGCCTTAGAGAGGGTGGGTAGGGCTGAAGTCTAGCCACGCGCCCGGCGCCCTGGGGAGGAGGTGCCTTTGCTGAGTCCCACAGGCTCCCTGTGTCTGCCTGGAGTGGGCAGGACACGATGGTCCCCTTGTCCCCTCTTGGGCCACAGGTGTTTTACAGCCTGATGGAAGGTCCTGCTACCTATTCACAGCCGCTGACAAGTGACAGTGCACACATTGGTTTAGAAATAGACACTGGCATAACTGGCAGTTGTTTTAGTGATAACTGAGTCATCACAATGCTCATCTTTTATCAGGTCTTTCAGATGTTATTAAATCTTTATGAAAAGCATGAAGCATCTTTCTCTAATTAAAATCCTGAAGTACATAAACTGCCAATGTTAAATTTTGGAAATGGTTGTACAGCCTTTGGGACAGACATTTAATAAAACATTTGGAACTTAAAAAAATTATAATTGGAATTGAGTCACCAGTTATGGCGAGGGCCAAGGGCAGCTTTCGTGTCTGTCTCGGTCAATCTGTCCCCAAGGGCCAGAGCAGGGCCTGGCACACAGGCCTCTCCCTAAGTGTCTGCTGAGTGAACAGTAAGCCTGGACTCTCTCCTGTCTGAATATTCTTGGGCTTGTTGCCGGCTAGTAATGTGATTTAGTTGGTTTTTCTAAATATTTTTTTGCCATCAAATTAATTTTTGTAGAAAGGAAAGAGTCCTGTAATTTCTCTTGCTTTTTGGGGAAGTATATTCCCATGTTTGTGTTGGCAACCAAGTGTGGAAACTCGCAGAACAACCCATATCAGTATAAGAAACAGTTATTCTCACTATTTATAATGCCCGAGTTGCACCTTTAAACAAGAGAGCTTCCAAACCACTTCAGGAAAGTTTTATTAAATATAAAATTTTACGTATAACTTGATTAATTGGCATTGCAATTGTTTACTAAAGGTTTGTATTTCAAATAGGGCAAAAAAATTATCTAAATGCCATTTCATCCTTACTTTTTTATCTCGAGTTCAATCATTAGAACCAGCAGCGGTGCACCATGAAAAGGAGGTCTCTCTGCCCCTTTCTGCTAATGTATTTTAACCTCGACTTGACAGAATCCTGGTGTTGTGTGGCCCAGAGCTTCCTCAGGGATGCGGTTACTTTAACGGGGGGAGAGGTGCTGGGTGTGCGGTCGGCTGGAGCATGTGGCTTAGTGGGAAGCCCGCCTGGGGCCCGGGGTGCAGCCGAGGCACACTATGGACTGCTGTCTCTGTAACGGCATGTGGGGCCGACCCAGGACTTGTACTCGTAGTCAGAGATCTGAAGAGAAGCACTGAACAGGGCAGTCACCTCAATTAAACTGAGTGTTTCATTTCTTTAGCCAACTGGTAATTTAAAAACACACTGACGGGTTTCAGTGAGGCTCGTGGGCGCAGGATGTAGACTTGCACTGTGTGGGCACCGGAGGAAATGCCGACAGCAGTACTCTGGTCTCAGGCTGTCTGTGCTCTCAGTTTTCAGGAGACAGACAATGCCTGGCATGGCGGGTGTCTGGCGTTGGCGGAACTGGGCAGAAGAGGCCTGTTGCTCCCTTCTCGACTTGCGGACGGTGAGTAGCTGCAGCACGTTGCATTGTCAGGACTGTTTATAGCATGGGGGGTGCTTCCTCGTATCCCATCTCCCCGGTGTGGCCCGCCCTGAGCACACCACGTCTCTGCCCTCACGGCTAGCTTAAGTATTTGTAGGAGAGAACATCCCAGACTGTGTCTCTCAAACTTCTTTCTTATATTGGCCTTTCTAATTTCCTAATTGCCTCTTCTCCCTGCTGTGAAATTTTAGTACCACAGATACACTGTATATCTGGATGTGGGGCGCCGTGAACCACTGTGATGTCTGAGATTTTCTTGTCCCCCAGAACCAGCTTTCACCCTTGTGAAATGGGGTGCTGTGGCCCGTTAAGAACACAGTGTGCGCTGGCTCTGTGCTTCTTGTCACCTGGAGTGACGTCATGGTTCCTTGGGAATAAAGCTCACACTATCGAGGGGATGGGTGGAGGGCCTGAGCAGGGGGAGGCGGGTGCAGAGGGACCCCCAAGCCCTGGGCCTGTGTGTCCCAGCTGTCGGGCCTGGTCACTCAGAGGTGGGGCGTGGGGCCGTGGCCACATGAAACCCTGGCTGTGGTTGGTGAGGAGCGTCCCTGAGTGTGGCTGGCGGTGCCTCTGTGGACAGAAGGAAGGGATACCCACGAAAGTCGGAGAGGGCCCTATCCTGCAGTGTGTCACTGTAGACACCACATGCCCTGGGAAGTGACTTGTGTCCAGAGTAAAGACCTCTGTGCAGAGATGGGTGTGGCCCTGCGTCTTCCTCACCAGCACCGTGCTGTGGGGCATCAGAGGAGCTGGCTGTGCACTTGGCATCGTGAGGCACGAGGGGAGCTCTTAGCCCCGTGGTTCCTGTTTACTCTTTCTGCTCGTTTTTTGTAGCAGCTTTCTTGAGATATAATTTATATACCATGAAGTTCACTCATTGAAAGTGTACAATTCAGTGGTTTATAGTATATTTACAGAGTTGTGCAGCCATCATCATAATCTAATTTCAGAACATTTTCATTGTGCCACAGAGAAACCCTGTGCTCAGGAGCACTGACTCCCCATTCCTCTCAACACTCCCAGCCCCAGCCCACAACTGATTTGCTTTCTGTCTCTATAAATTTGCCCTTTCTGGACAAGAGTGGTCTTTTGTGTCTGACTTATTTTACTTGGTGTAATTTTTTTCACATTCATATTGTAACATGTAACAGTAGTGCTTCCTTCCTTTTTGTGGCTGAGTAATATTCCATTGTATGGATAGACCACATTTGTTTATCTGTTCATGAGTTGACGAACATTTGGGTTTTCACCTTTTGGCTCTTATGAGTAACGCCAGTATGAACGTTTGTGTACAAGGTTCTATGTGGCTGTGTTTTCAGTTCCCTTAGGTGTAGACCTAGGAGTGGAATTGCTGGATAATATGGTAACTCCATCTTTAACTTGATGAGGAACTGCCAAACTGTTTTCCAAAATGGTTGTACCATTTTACATTCCCAGTAACCGTGTATGAGGGATCCAGTTTCTCCACATCCTCTCCGACATTTATTTTTCTCTGTTTGTTTTTTTTTTTTTTTTTTTTTAAAGATTTTATTTATTCATTTTTTTCCCCCCAAAGCCCCAGTAGATAGTTGTATGTCATAGGTTCACATCCTTCTAGTTGCTGTACGTGGGACTCAGCCTCGGGTTGGACGGAGAAGTGGTGCCTTGGGGCGTGCCCGGGATCCGAACCCGGGCCGCCAGCATCAGAGCGCACGCACTTAACCGCTAAGCCACGGAGCCGGCCCTGTTTGTTTGATAATAGTCATCCTAGTGGGTGTGAAGTGTTATCTCATTGTGGTTTTGATTTGCATTTCCCTACTGACTAATGATATTGAGCATCTTTTCATGTACCTGTTGGCCATTGTTGGAGAAATGTTTATTCAAGTCCTTCGCTCATTTAAAGAATTGGGTTGTGTTTTTATTGTTGTTATAAGAGTTCTTTATGTATTCTTCTTGTCATATACCTTCTCTTATCAGGTATATGATTTGTAAATATTTTCTCCCATTCTATGGTTGTCTTTTCACTTTTTTGGTGGTGTCATTTGATGTACCAAAGTTTTAAATTTTGTTGAGTTCAGCTCATCAGTCTTCCCTTTTATTGCTTATGCTTCTGGTGTCATAGCTAAAAATCATTGCCTATCCCAGAGTCACAGAGATTTACCTCTGTGGTTTTATTTAATCTTTTGTTCCATCCTAAGTGACTTACACATTTATTTGTGAAAATAGATGTGTGTGAGTGAGAATGTGTGAGAGTGTGTAAGTGTGTCTTGGATGGAGATGAAATCCCTGCCTGTGTGGTGCCAACTCCAGTTCAACTTGAGGGAGACTAGAGCCTTCTCTCTGCTTTTCATGCTTGAGCCTGGCTGGCGTGTTTGTGCCCCCCGTGATAGCTTAGGATGTCAGCAGCATCCGCTGATCATAAGCAGCCGACGTGAGAGTATGTGGGTGTTGGTGTCGTAAACGAAAGTGTCAGGCTGTTGCCTGAAAACTGAGACATAAAATGTCATAAGTTGTTCCGTGATCTTCACTCGAATGGCTGGCCACGCCTGCCTGGTGGTGCCCTCTGTGTCAGTTTCTATGGAGTCTCTCTTTTTTATTGTGAAATTTTTGTTGTACATTATTGTTTGTCAGTCACCTTATAAATGCACCCCTTCACCCCTTGTGCCCAACCCCCACCCCCCTTGCCCCTGGTAACCACCAAACAGTTCTCTCTGTCCGTGTATTGGTTTATCTCCCACAAATGAGTGCAATCATGCAGTGTTTGTCTGTCTGGCTTATTTTGCTTAACAAAATACCCTCCAGGTCCATCCATGTTGTTGCACATGGGAGGATTTTGTCTTTTTTTATGGCTGAGTAGTATTCCATTGTACCTATATACCACATCTTCTTTATCCGTTCATCATTCGAGGGACACTTGGGTTGCTTCCACTTCTTGGCTATAGTGAATAATGCTGCAATGAACATAGGGGTGCATAAGCCTCTTTGGATTGTTGATTTCAGGTTCCTTGGGTAGATACCCAGTAGTGGGATAGGTGGATCATAAGGCATTTCTATTTTTAATTTTTGGAGGAATCTCCATACTGTTTTCCATAGAGGCTGTGCCAGTTTGCATTCCCACCAGTAGTGGATTAGGGTTCCCATTTCTCCACAGCCTCTCCAGCATTTGTTGTTTTTTGTCTTGGTGATTATAGCCATTCTAATGGGTGTAAGGTGATATCTTAGTGTGGTTTTGATTTGCGTTTCCCTGATGATTAGTGAGGTTGAACATCTTTTCATGTGCCTGTTGGCCATCTGTATATCTTCCTTGGAGAAGTGTCTGTTCATTTCCTCTGCCCATTTTTTGATCGGGTTGCTTGTTTTTTTGTTGTTCAGTTGCATGAGTTCTTTATATATTATAGAGATTAATCCCTTGTTAGATATATGGTTTGCAGATATTTTTTCCCAGCTGGTGGGTTGCCTATTCATTTTGGTCCTGGTTTCACTTGCCTTGTAGAAGCTCTTTAATCTGATAAAGTCCCACTTGTTTATTTTTTCTTTTATTTCCCTCATCTGAGTAGACATGGACTTCGAAAAGATCCCTTGATGACTGATGACAAATAGTGTACTGCCTATATTTTCTTCCAGGAGTTTTATAGTTTCACGTCTCACCTTCCGGTCTTTCATCCATTTTGAGTTAATTTTTGTGTATGGCAAAAGAAGATGGTCTACTTTCATTCTTTAGCATGTGGCTGTCCAGTTTTCCCAGCACCATTTATTGAAGAGATTTTCCTTTCACCGTTGTATGTTCTTAGCTCCTTTGTCAAAGATTAGCTGCCC